ATGGTTGTAATCCTCATTCATCTTTTTATCTAAAATGTCTTTATACAGCTGAGTAACTCATCTCATCCACCTGATTTGGCTGTCATTACTTGATGTCATTGCCAAAAATCAAACCCATTTCAAATCAAAAAAGATGTTTTGCCACTGAGGCTATACAAAATTATATGCTACAGGCTATAAAAAAACCAATGAACTCATAATTTCTAATTTCATCATCATCTCTCTTATTAGCATCATTGAAAAGTGTCATAGTTATTTTTGGAGGCAGAATACCACAATGAGTTAAGATCAAAATAGCCAAAACATTCTTGCAAAAGAACAAAGTTAGAGGACTTACACTTCTAATCGCAAAGCGCAAAATGAACTGCAAAGCTACGGTAATTAAGACCACACGGTATTGGCATAAGGCTAGAGAGATCAATAGAACAGAATTAACTGTCTAAAAATAAATATTTACATTTATGGTCAATTAATTTTTCACAAAGGTGCCAAAGTAATTTGATAAGGGAAAAGATCGTCTTTTCAACAAATGGTGCTGAGACAATTGGATATCTGCATGCAAAAAGATGAATTTATACCCTTACCTTTTACGTACACAAAAATTAAGTCAAAGTGAGTAGAAAGTACAGAAACCTAAAACTATAAAATTTTTACAAGAAAACATGAGTAAATCTCTGTGGTCTTGGATTTGAAAAAAACTTCCTAATACCAAAACACAAGCAACAGAAGAAAAAAATTGATAAATTGGACTTCATCAAAATTAAAATTATTTGCTCTTCAAAAGGCACCAATTATATATCTGATAAAGCACTTGCGTTCAGAATGTATAAAGAACACTTACAACTCAATAAGAAGACAATTAACTCAATTTAAAAATGGGCATAAGACTGGAATAAATATTTTACCAAAGAAGATACAAGATAGCTGATAAAAACATAAAATGATGATCAACATCATTAGTTACTAGGAATATGAAAATTAAAACTACTATTTCACACCCACTAAAATAACTATAATTAAAAAGACAATAATAGAGGAGGATGTGGAAAAACTGTAACTCTCATCCATTGCTGGCAGGAATGTAAATTGGTACAACCATTTTGGAAAACAGTTTTGCAGTTTTTCAAAAAGTAAATTTATGACATAACCCAGTAATTCCATTCCTACATATCTACCCAAGTGAAATGAAAACACGTGGCCACTCACAGACTTGCATTGTAAATGTTCACAATAGCATTATTCATAGTAACCCAAACCTAGAAACAACTCAAATATTCACCAACTGCTGAATGAATAAACAAAATATTATATATTATACATATATTGATAAATGTATATTTCTATACATATACATTTTAATAGATTTTTATATATCTATATGCTAAAATGGTGTTTTTCTTATGAACTCCTGTAAACAATATATCTATTTTAACACATTTATAAGAATATGTTCTCATATATAATTTCGAGTTAGCATCTCTTCAATTCTCAGTCCAGGTAAAAATCTGGGTTCAAATTCTAGCTCTACCATCTACCACTTCTTAGCTCTGTGCTCCCAGGCTAGTTACTTAACCTCTCTGAGACTGTACTAATAAAATATGGGCAATAATATATACCTTACACTATTGTAGGATTAAATGATATAAAACATGTAAAATGCTTAGCACTGGAATGACACAGTGTAAGTCCAGTCCTTAATAAATAATACCCAGTATTTTTGTTTGTCTTTTTGGAGTTTTATTTGCAAGTCTAGTTCTTTACTAATGCTTATGGTGAGAAGAAGGAAGATATTTTGTGCAGTGGAGACAGCTACTTCTGCACTTCCAGCTGTCTGACTTCAAATTTTTCACTTAATCTTTTAGGGCCTTCAGTTGCCAAAATCTATAAATGAGAATCATGTTATGCATCTCACAGGACTTAGGTTAGGGAACGATATTAGAGTTCTGGTAAACTGCAAAGTGCAATACAATTATAAAGTACTAAATCATTATGACCTTCTGTTCCCATCAATACCACCCACAGAATGTTTATAGAAGAACCAGAATAACTACCCACAGAGTATTGTAGAGACATGCCTCAACCCCTAAAATTATAATGAAAGAATCTTTTCATGGCCATTGCGGTGACAGTAAGTCATTTTCAAAATAAATTTTATTCTCCTGTTGTTTGAACACACAGTAAGAACTGTGTTACTCCTTGTCTGAAACACTCTCTGCCTGTCCTCATGAGCTATCAGCTCAGCTAAATATGGCCCTGGCCAGTATGTTAATAATCCCCACTGGTTCTGAGACCTCCGTCCACCACTGATGTGACATTCTTTGTGTTCAAATGTCTAGCTGACGTCTGATGCTTAAAACAGCGCATGCTTTCACCCCTCTCCACATTGTCACAGCCCTGTCTCACCACTCTTAAAAGGCTACTGCAGCCACTCCTCACAGTTGCTGGCCTGCCTTCCCACTTGCCTCTTTGCCTGCTTCTGGCAGCCTTGAATGCCTGATTCTTCAAGCTCCTTGCAGGTCTGACAAAGCAGGGACCATGTCTACCTTTGGCTACAGAAGAGGACTTAGTAAATATGAATCCATTGATGAGGACGAGCTCCTCGCCTCCCTGTCAGCTGAGGAGCTGAAGGAACTGGAGCGAGAGTTGGAAGACATTGAACCTGATCGCAACCTCCCCGTGGGGCTAAGGCAAAAGAGTCTGACGGAGAAAACCCCCACGGGGACATTCAGCAGAGAGGCACTGATGGCCTATTGGGAAAAGGAGTCCCAAAAACTCTTGGAGAAGGAGAGGCTGGGGGAGTGTGGAAAGGTAGGTTCCTGGGACTTTTCCTTGGCTACTCCCACCACCCCACCCCAAACCCAGGCAACTCTGCTTCCTCTAACTTCTCAGTCCTCATCACTCTAATCTTCTTATAGCCCATTTGTACCCGCTACTGAAAAATTTCTCAGGCTGAGATGGTCATGTAATATCTATGGCCACCCAATGGATTATGATCCATTTAACATGTGAAATTCTTAACTGGGGTTCTTTGATTGACTAAACCTGGGAACCTCAAGAGGAAATAATTCACAAGCAAGGTATGGGTTTAAATATTTTCCTAAACATAAGTCTTATTTGAGCTATAAGTTGGTGATATAGCATATAAGTTTCTGAGATATGTGTGTGTGTGTTTCAGTTAAGCACATTTATTTTCTCCTAGAAACACAAAAATGGGAATTCTGGTTGCTTTGACTGTGATAGTGGCTATAGTAAAAATAGTTCTTTTTTTCCAACACCAAGAAGTGTGGGGTGGTGGGAAGCACATGGGACTGAGAGTTGGGGGGCCTTGTTTCTAAGTCCCTGCTCCGTCATTAAGTTGTTAGACCTTGAACAGTCACTTCTTCAGGATTCTCTTTCTCTCTGTCCATTGAGGGAGTTAGATACAGTGTTTCTTTTGCAAATCAAGAACCTCTTTGAGATTTTGATAAGTTATGAACCTTCTCCTCAAGAAAATACATATGTGCTTATGCAAATATACACAAAGTCTTGCATAGGATTTTCATATGACACACATCCTGAAACCCATCTGAGGACACACGTTAAGTACACCTATGTAGATGATCTCTAAGACTCCTTCCTACTTTATAACGGTGATTCTGAGGCCAGGAAATGTGCTTATATTGGAGCTCAAGTCTACTAAGCTCGTGTGTACTGCCTAGTAAACAGTTACTTTGAATTTGCCAAATGAGTCATTCCCAGAAGCAAGTTCAAAAGACTGTACTCGGGGGAAAAGAGCAATGGCAATACAATGTACATATGACAAAGAAATTCTTCCTGAATTTATGGAAGAACACAGGTCAGCCAGAAACAAGAGTTTAAAACCCCTGCACTCTATAGGAATCATCTTAAAGTCAAATCGGCCTAAAGCCGATGGCAAGACTTCCACGGTACTAATCTAGGCGCTGTTAGCTGATCTTGATGATGGGGTGCATGGGCCACAATTGCAGCAAGATATGTGTGAGCTTTGTCCATGTCAATCACCGCAGGAAGGGCCACTGGGATCTGGCCAGTGTCTGCCAAGGCCACAGCAGCCGCCTGTGCTGAGGAGCTAGAAGGAGGGGTGAGGAGGAAGGACAGTTCAATTTCTCCACAACTATCATTTTAAGAGGTTTTTTTTTTTCCTATGATGTGGGAATGAGTATCTAAAGTCTGATAAAATATAATGACGTTTTTATTACAGTTGTTAAAGAATTTCACTAATAAAAAGAATAAAATTATCTCAGAATATCCAGGACATAACAGCCAACTGTAGCAATAACCCAACAAAGGCATTTTAATGTCATAATGTCATGACAGTGGTGGGAACCAAAGGGCAAAGCCTGTTGTCAGCTGTTGACAAAACCCACCTGAACCTGCCAAAGGTTTTGCTGATCACTGCCAATGGCTTATCAGCTCAATTAGAAAGGCTGCTGTGTTTATGAACTTTGATTCCTTTCTCGGCTAGTTAACTTTTCTCCCACTACACTTTCCCCTCTGGCCAGCTGTCTGTAGTCACAGGGAGTGCTGAGCAGAAGCTTGCTGATGGGGGTGCAAATCCAATTCCCACCACTGGAAAAAATTCAAAGCAGCTGAGCGGTGGGTTGGGGGCAGCTGCATGAAAAGCTCCATGGTAGGGACCATGAGAAGAGGCAAGGGGTCTTGGTTATCAGGTGCTCTGTAAAGACTTTTGAAAATCAAGTGCAATGCCTGTTGAATGACGGCCTCCTGCCCACCTGGGTTCACACAAACTTATGCTGCACTGGAGTTCCCAGGGGCCCTGGGAGACCTACTGGCCCAGCTTCCCCAGCTGGGGCATCTGCTGGACCTCAGGCACAGGTGCCAATGAGTTTCCTCACATTACATATACATTATCTCACTTCCTTCTTACCTTTCTGCACATGAGACTATGTGAGGTTAAGAAACTTATTCAAGGTTAACAGTTTGCAAATAGAAGTGAAATTCAAACTAAGTTCTGTTGGCACAAAGACCATCTCAAAATTGTGGATGTCCAATCAGCAGCATCACCTGGGAACTTCTTGGAACTGCACATTCTAGAGCTCCCCTCTATCTGTTGAATGAGAAACTCTGGGGATGGGGCCCAAGGATCTGTGGACTCATAAGCCCTCAAGGTGATTATGACACATGCTAAAGTTTACGAACTGTTCAACGACAGTTGACCCTTGAACAACGCAGGGTTGACCAAAAGCCTTACTGATAACATAAACAGTTGATTAACACATATTTTGTATATTATATATATTCTATACTGTAGCCTTACAATAAAGTAAGCTACAGAAAAGGAAATGTTAAGAACATCTCAAAGAAGAGAAAATATATTTACTATTCATTAAGTGGAAGTGGGTCATCATCAAGTTCTTCATCCTCATTGTCTTCATGTTGAGTAGGCCGAGGAGGAAGAGAAGGGCTTGCTCTTGCTGTCTCATAGCTGGCAGAGGTAGAAGAAAATCCACATATAAGTGGACCCATGCAGTTCAAACCCTTGTTGTTCAAAGGTAACTGTATACTGTAGTTTCTTTGAGACCCAGAAAGGTTTAATGACCTGTCTAAAGTCAATCTGTTCTTTACGGGTGGAAACAGAACCAGAACTGAAAACCAAGCCTCTTGCCTCTTTGTTCATGTAATGATGTCAGGGAGGTGACCATGAGAAATGCTTGGCCACCTCCTTCTCATTGCTTTATTTATTATCTAAGTGTACCAACATCCACCTTCTCCCCATTCAGCCCCTCACCATCCCCCACCTCCTCACACTACCCCACCTTCCCACCTCCATTCTCCAACGTATCAGGGTTAATGCCAAGGCAGCGGCATACAGGAAATCTCCAACAGAACAGTCCCCTAGTGCCAGAATAATTTACCAAGTAGGCAAAGTCTGGTTTTTGCATCCTTCTACCTCCCATCTCTAGGCACCTTTCTCTCTTCTGGTGTTCTTTTTCCAGATGTTACCCATGTAGTGTGACTAACCATCTCAGATTCTCCAAGACTATCTAGATTTTAGAACTAAAAATCCTGCTACGTGGGCAATGCTTCAGGCTTAGGCAAACTAGGAGAGTTGGTCTCCTTACCACCATCCCCACCCCCCAACTCTATCGTTGCTTTCTCCTAGAGCTAGACATGACTCTCAGCTGCTGCTAATCAATGTAAACTTAGATCCATTCAGGAAACAAATATTCATTGAACTCCTACGACATGCTAAGCATTGTGCTAGGTGAGCAAAACAGACATGGCCCTGCCCTCATCCAGCTGACAGTCTTAATAACCTAATACTAATAACCTAATAAAGTTGATGGATACTTTCATGGGGGAGGTATAATGCTATGAGAACCCATACTGCAGGGGTAATTTGAGGGGGGTGTCAAAGAAGGCTTTCAAAGAGAGGTGTCATGGCCAGGCACGGTGGCTCACGCCTGTAATCCTAGCACTTTGGGAGGCCGAGGCGGGTGGATTGTTTGAGCTCAGGAGTTTGAAACCAGCCTGAGCAAGAGCGAGACTCCGTCTCTACTAAAAATAGAAAGAAATTAATCAGACAACTAAAAATATATAGAAAAAATTAGCCGGGCATTGTGGCCCATGCCTGTAGTCCCAGCTACTCGGGAGGCTGAGGCAGAAGGATTGCTTGAGCCCAGGAGTTTGAGGTTGCTGTGAGCTAGGATGACGCCATGGCACTCTAGCCCAGGCAACAGAGCGAGACTCTGTCTCAAAAAAAAAAAGAGAGGTGTCATTTAGATGTTACATGACAACTCAGTTTGCTAAATAATTATCTTTCCAGGTATGTTTTGAGGGGAAAACAGCTCTTGCAGATAGAGCCTAAAGGTCTTTGTAAAACCAAAGAGGATAAAATATAATGGTGGCATAAAAAGCCATATACCTTGGATTTTGAGACAGACTCCCTTACCTCCAAATACTAAAACAGCTAAAAACACACACTTACAAACACATGCACACACACACAGCAGAGATGGCATAGAATTATAAAGGATTTGGGGCAGGGTGGGGGTGGGGAGAACCCAGCCTACAATTCTTTCCTTCCTCCAGTTAATCCATTTATTCCACTGCTGGCCAGATACAGCTTCCTCCCTCTCCTCACACATGCCAAGAGGGTTAGCTAAAAGCCAAACTCTTTCTTTGGTGTTTTTGGGTTGTGACTTGTAGCCAGCTACCACCAGACATCTCTCTCTCTCTCTCTCTCTCTCTCTCTCTATGTCTATCTCTCTGAGTATCCCTCTCCCTCCTGCTCCTAAAGAAGCGAGTAAATTAAGACTGGACAGGTCATCCCAGGAGCAGCTGACCCCTTCCCCAGGCCATCACTTGGTGCCTGCCACTCCAAACAAGTGGATAACTGGAAGCTGTTTTGTGATAGCAACCGGGCAAACAAACCTGGAAACAAGTACAGTGTTTTCCATAGCTCATCCACATGCCTCAGGCAGCAGGGGCCCTGGGGGTCAAAGAAAAAAAAAAGTTGTCATTGTAGAGGGAACAATCAGGGCTTGGAGGACAGAGGAGGGCTCCAGGGCTTCAGAGATTATAAACAGAAAGGACTGAAAAGATAGCTTGAGGGAACACTGGGCTCTGTCATCAATTTCTAGACTTTTTTTTAATAAGAAAAGATAGCAAGAGGCCAGGTGCGGGGCTCACACCTGTGATCCTAGCACTCTGGGAGGCCGAGGTGGGAGGATTGCTTGGGCTCAGGAGTTCAAGACCAGCCTGAGAAAGAGCGAGATCCTGTCTCTACTAAAAAACAGAAAAAATTAGCCAGAAACTACTAAAAATAGAAAAAATTAGCCAGGCATGGTGGTGCTCACCTGTAGTTCCAGCTACTAGGGAGGCTGAGGCAGGGGGATTGCTTGAGCCCGGGAGTTTGAGGTTGCTGTGAGCTAGGCTGACGCCACGGCTCTCTAGCCCAGCTGTCCCAGGCAACAGAGCAAGACTCTGTATCAAAAAAAAAAAGAGAGAAGGAAAAAATGAAGAAGAAAAGATAGCAAGAAAAAGAGAAAGAAAGGTCACTTGGGCTTCTTCCATCCAAGTGCTAACCAGGCCGGGCCCTGCTTGGCTTCCAAGACCAGACGGGATCTGGCGTGTTCAGGGTGGTATGGCCTAGACACTTGGGCTTCTTTGTACAGTAAGTCTTGTAAACAGGAAAGACAAAGGTAGAATGAAATTGTGTTTGTCTGAAAGCCTTTCATAATTGATACCTGCTAAATAATTTAATGCCATCAGGCTGGGCAATGACTTACTTCAGGATTTTCTACTGTTCGGTGCTGTTCCACATTACGGGTTAGAATCTAGTGAGCACGACGGGTGATTATCTTCCTGTCTTCTGCTGCCCATCTCATTTCACCCTGACCTCACTGGAGGTTTCAAGCTGATTTGCTGAAAAGGGTGACCTGAATGTTTTCTGCGTAAAGCGGGGTTTTGACCTCCAGCTGTCCTGAGCAACAGCCCCGCCCCTTAGGCTGCTCTTCCCCAGACCAGGGACCGGCACAGCAGCGCCCTCAGGTGGTGTGGAGTCTCCGCATCCCGGTGCCGGGCTCTACTGCATTAAGTAGAAAAATGCGGAAGAGCAAATGACACCTCTGCTTCTGCCTACACTGAGACAAGCCAGGGTGGAGAGCACTTGGCTCTTGTCACATCTACTATGGATGGCAAATTTGGGGAAGAATTTTTGAACGTCACAAAGGGGAAACTCATTAACATATTGTATATTTTTGTTGCCGTTTGTTTGGGATGGAGAAGTAAGGAAGGACAGAGGGGCGATTCCAGAGCGAGGGTTGAATTTGCTAAATTGAAGTAGATGAGGAGTCAAGTAGTTAAGAGTCAGTAGTCAAGAGATTGAAAATTCATCAAGGGTTTTCCAAAGCTTAAGTTCTGACTTATTTGTTCAAATCGACGAGATAATAATAAATTTTTATTCAGTAATTGAATTCTGGATATTCTGTAGCAAACAAAAGAAATATTTGTATAAAAAGCTATTGAGAGTTATGCAACAAAATGCTAACCTGGGTCACCACAACTAAAGAGATCAGAAGCAGGGGATTGCTAACTTTTTTTTAAATTATAGACTTTTGTATTGTAATACTTGCCATGTGTTACTTCTGTAAATTTTTAACAATGTGCTTAAAAATGAAAAACTTAATGATGATACCATGCTCTTTAGGTTGCAGAAGAAGAAAAAGAGGAGAGTGAGGAAGAGCTTATCTTCACTGAAAGTAACAGTGAGGTTTCTGAGGAGGTGTATACAGAAGAGGAGGAGGAGCAGCAGGAGTCCGAGGAGGAAGAGGAGGAAGAAGATAGTGATGAAGAGGAAAGAACAATTGAAACCGCAAGAGGTATTAATGGAACTGTCAATTATGATAGTATCAATTCTGACAGCTCTAAGCCAAAGACATTTAAAAGTCAAATAGAGAACATAAATTTGACCAACGACAGCAATAGAAGGAACACAGAGCCGCCAGCTGCCATTCACCCTTGTGGAAATCCTACAGTTATTGAGGATGCTTTGGACAAGATTAAAAACAATGACCCTGACACCACAGAAGTCAATCTGAACAACATCGAGAACATCACAACGCAGACCCTTACCCGCTTTGCCGAAGCCCTCAGGGACAACACGGTGGTGAAGACCTTCAGCCTGGCCAACACGCGCGCCGACGACAGCGCAGCCCTCGCCATCGCGGACATGCTCAGAGTCAATGAGCACATCACCAGCGTCAACGTGGAGTCCAACTTCATCACGGGAAAGGGCATCCTGGCCATCATGAGGGCTCTGCAGCACAACGCGGTGCTCACGGAGCTGCGCTTCCACAACCAGAGGCACATCATGGGCAGCCAGGTGGAGATGGAGATCGTCAAGCTGCTGAAGGAGAACACCACGCTGCTGAGGCTGGGCTACCACTTCGAGCTCCCAGGGCCACGAATGAGCATGACGAGCATTCTGACAAGAAATATGGATAAACAGAGGCAAAAGCGGATGCAGGAGCAAAAGCAGCAAGAGGGATGTGATGGAGGATCCAATCTTAGGACCAAAGTCTGGCAAAGAGGAACGCCCGGCTCTTCCCCGTACGCATCGCCCAGGCAGTCTCCGTGGTCATCCCCCAAAGTGCCCAGGAAAGTGCAGACTGTGAGGAGCCGTCCTCTGTCTCCTGTGGCCACACCCCCGCCTCCGCCTCCGCCTCCTCCTCCTCCTCCTCCTCCCCAGAATCTACCAGCACCTCCTCCTCCGCCGCCCCCTCCTCCTCCTCCACTCCCAGAGAAAAAGCTCATCACCCGAAACATTGCAGAAGTCATCAAACAACAGGAGAGTGCCAAACGGGCGTTACAAAATGGACAGAAAAAGAAAAAAGGGAAAAAGGTTAAGAAACAGCCAAACAGTGTCCTAAAGGAAATAAAAAATTCTCTGAGATCAGTGCAAGAGAAGAAAACGGAAGACAGTTCCCGACCTTCTACCCCACAGAGATCAGCGCATGAGAATCTCATGGAGGCGATTCGGGGGAGCAGCATGAGACAGCTGAGGCGGGTGAGTGACCTGAGAACAGACGTTCGGGCGCAGATTTAGTAAACGAGCTGGCCTCCATTGCATGATGGTGCTAGAGTCTCCTCTCAAAAAACGTATTAATATTTTAAAGTATTTTAGTGTGTGGGAGTAGCATACCAAGTTGGAAGCATAGGAGCGGGCATGTGAGTGAGGACAGTTCCATTTGAGCGGTATGCCTGGGCCACCTTCTTAGCCTCTGAGTCTTATAAGGGCCAGGACCATTTTAAGACGCTCCAACACATAAAAGTCCCAATTCCTTTAATAAGATAATCAGGGAGTATAATCTACATCCCAAAAGGATTCGTCACTTGTCAAAACTTTTACCACAGAGTTGCAAGTGATCGATACCTAATTTATAATATAAATTATGCAGCAATAATCAGTCTGTGTTTGAGTTCCTCTCAGAGAATCCTGCTAGAGACATACCCTACAGGTATTTTTCACTCTGTCATTTGTGTTGTTTCATTGAAAGAAAATCCCCTATCTTTGTAGGTGGAAGTTCCAGAAGCTCTGCGATAAAAACACGATCTTTAGAAGAGGATGCAGAACTGTTCAGTGGTGTTAAATAAAATGGATTGTGAGATGTTTCTAAAATAACTTCTTCAATTTGAAATGTTCCCTGACTTTAAAAATAGCCTCACCTATTCATTTCAAAGAGAATTTTAAGAAACAATAGCATGTTTCTTCTGTAAATATGAACATAAACTTATTTTTTATGTTGTGAGATTTGTATTGGCAAGAAGCAGTTAATTTAAAGATGCTCTTCATATCTTTGGATGTGTTGGTAACTCTGAGCTTTAATGAGTTAATGAAATGTGCTGTTATTTTTGTAATTCCAATAAATATGGATTGAAGTTTTCCTTTTTTTTTAAAGCCAAACTAATAATTTTCTGTGAGTTGATACATCTTTCAGGTGTGTATGTAATGTTACTGAATATTAAAAATATTACATTCTCACCCAAACAAGGTTTGGGTCCTTAGCATTCGCATTCTTTGTTTCCTCATGTCTAAGAAAATCTGATCAGACTTCTTTCTAAAGGACTGGAATCAAGAACCTTCTTAAAAGCCTCTTTTGATAGTGAGATAAAGAGTCGGGAAAAGACTGCAATGTGGCCGTTACCATCTTGGATTTATTGATGCTAGACCCAGGATGGCAGCTGATGCTCCCATATTTACATAAGTCCAATAGGTACACAGAAGTCAACTTAACCATTATTAAAATCAATTATTCTGGAAGAAAAAGAAATTGAAGTTAGGAAGTTTCTTGGTAGGAAGAAAAGGAATACTAGGGGAATGCCTGGAAGATAAGCCCCCTAAATTCAAAGCTACCTTGTAGCTGATGCTAAAGACGAACTATTCAAGTCTCCCTTTACATTCTCCTTGGACAAGCCTTAGTCCGGTGGGTCTAAGACTTTTTTTTGCTCTACAGAAATTGTGATGATGCCAACATTCACAAAATACCCTTAGGGACATGGGCACATGTATTTGCAATCCCCAGCTATCCTTCCACCCTGCTCTTGTCACTCAACAAGGGTCTGAATTCAAACAGAAAGATGTATCGAATTGCTTTTACTCCACGCTAGTCCTCCACTCTAATTTTTTTTTTTTTTTTTGAGACAGAGTCTCACTGTGTTGCCCAGACTAGAGTGCCGTGGCATCAGCCTAGCTCACAGCAACCTCAAACTCCTGGGCTTAAGCAATCCTTCTGCCTCAGCCTCCCAGGTAGCTGGGATTACAGGCATGTGCCGCCATGCCCAGCTAATTTTTTCTATTTTTAGTTGTTTTGCTAATTTCTTTCTATTTATAGTAGAGACGGAGTCTCACTCTTGATCAGGCTGGTCTCGAACTCCTGAGCTCAAACAATCCACCCACCTTGGTCTCCCAGAGTGCTAGGATTACAGGCGTGAGCCACCGCGCCCAGCCCCACTCTAATTTATGAAAAGCTATAAATCCTTTCTAAAGTCCTTTGTATTAACTATGATTAGTGATGTATCCTTTGTGTCCTACAGATTATAGCAGTGGCCTTGGCAAGCTCTCTGGGCCACTCATTCAATAATTGTTTGTTTCATATACAGAATTTTGGGTTATCTACAACTGAGAGGATTGTGTTTCACTAGAAAATTTCTCCACTAGTTCTTGAGTCTAGTTCCTTTAGTCTGTCTCTACTGTTCAGCCATTCTCTTACTGAATAAGGACCACTGATTAATCACTTAAAGAGGGTTCCAGAACCGTGAGCTAAGTCAGTGCCCTGGCTCCATGTCGTGGGGGAGGGTGATGGACATTTTCTGAACTAAGTTGTCTCATGCGCTTTTCACAACAGCATTAAGAGGTGCTATCCCCATTTTAGAGACGAAGAAACTGAAGCGCAGAGAGGTTAATGCTGGTGTCCCCAACCATAAAGCCCATACTCCTGAGTCACTGCGCCTCTCTGCTTCCATCCAGACAGAAATCTCCCGCAGGCTCCCCATCCTTAGAACAGTGGAGATTTCCATTTCCTTGGTAGTAATTTCACTATTTTGACTTCTTTCCATCAGTGTTCATAATTATGTTCATTCTTGTTGTTCAAAGAAACAAAGGCTAAAATTTAGGTTTTTAAAAAAGTGTATGCATGTGTGTGTATGAATTTAGAACAGAAAGACAAGACAGACCTTCCTTTCCCCCGCCGCTCGTTTGTGCGTGAGGATGGGGCTCTTCTAAATAGAAGGGGAGGAGAGGTGAACAGCTTTCTAAATCCATTCTGATACGGCAGAGGAGCAAAAGTTCGCTGATAAACCGGGTCACTGATTAATCCATGCAGGAATCACAGAAGGAAGGTATGCAGCAGCACTCTGAGTGAAGAGGAAAGGCTAGCATGTGTTGCTGGGTGCTGTTTGGGCTGGGGAAACTGGCCAGGCCTTCTCACCACAAGTGAGTAATTAGGAGACATGTTTTCTTCTTTGTATTTTAAAAAGCTGCCTTGCTGGAGCTTTTTATGCCTTAGGAGAGAACAACATGCACTTACTAGGCACGTCACAAAATTTAAGCTATAGACCTTCATATTCAATCTGTGAAACAAATATTATAAAGCCGATGTTAAGACAAGTATGGTATGATCAGATACTAAGTGGGTACATTTATTACTAAGAAAAAAACATTTTTAGAACATGTTATTTCAGAATCCAGTACTGTGAACATGCAAAGTATTATGATGATCATTATTCAGCACAGAACAGGGATCCTAGCTCATCCTCCCCGGAAACTCACGGAGCTGGTAGGAAAACTAATTAGTTCATCCTCTATAAAGAGCTTTCAACTCACTGGGAGGGAAACTGTCCAAGAGCAGATGAAGTGTTTAGGCTGTGATTAATATGTGCACATTAATCTCTGCAAGTACAGCTCATCCTGCTTTGCAACAGGGCCAGGATGCTGAGTCCACTCTGCTTCACAAGCCCTGCTGCCACAGGTATTTAATAACTCAGTGTCAGCAGGATCTTGATTTAATACCTGCCATGCGATAGTTACTACCAGTGAGTGAAAGAAAGTGGTAATAACAGGTTGCAATGTCTACATTCAGATGCACTAAAGACATGGGTAAATCAACATGTTCTTGCAAAGAGTTCATAATGACTTCCTTTCACAACGAAGTTAAAACTGTCCCTTTTTTGTTTCTCTGAGGCTCTTAAGGGGGACTTTTGTTTTGATAAATTGCCAAATATCATGTTCTAAAAGATTAAGAATTAACCTAAGACTTACAAAACTCAGAAATATGATAGCAACATTGATGGACTTAAGGTCCACAAATATTTTCTGAGTGCCTACCATGTTCCAGATACTCTTCTGGACACCAGAGATACACAGTGAACAAAGGGGATAAAACCCCCGTCCTCTCGTGTAACTTACACTCTCGTGTAAGGAGGGAGCATGCACCATTCCTTCAAGCACCCATGCATTTATTTATCAAGTGGCTCCCATCTACAAGGCACTCTCCTCTATGCTGGAGAGAACAAGTCAAATTAGAACTTGTCCTCTACTTCAAAGCAGTGGGAATCCTACCGAAATCGACCCTTCCAGAAGAATAAAAACTCTTACTTAGTTCACAAGCTGTACAAAAATGGGTGTTGGATGAATTTGAGCCAAATTTTACCATTAACCCTTGACCTAAAGCAGATATGGAGCTAAAGGAAATCTTCTCAGGGAAGGTGACATTTAATCTGGATTTTTAAAGAATAATCACCAGGCTAAAAAAAAAAAAAAAAAATCTCGTGATGGGGGTGGGGATGGGGAAGGACATTTCAATTTGAGGAAACAGGGTATTATAGAAAAGGGCTGGAAATCATAAGACAATATAATTCTGTAAAACCAAAAATCTGGTAAAATTAATATTTCAGTCTTTTTTTTCTAGTATTGATAATTTGTGTGGATTAAGAATAGGACTATTGTATGTGATCATTTAAGAAAAATCAGAACATAAATATACACAAAAGGACAAAAAGAATACCCATAATCCTACCCACACAGAACAATTACTGATGACCTTTTAGTGTATATCTTCTTAAATCCTTTTAAATGCATATTTGAACACACCTATAACTATTTTTTTCTACAAAAAGAGAAGGATAGCTACATACCATTAAGCAATCCCATTTTATTTAAGCAATTTCAGTAACTGTTGGATAGATTATTTTGATTAGTCTTCTCTCTGGTGTTATATATTTTGTTTGTTTCGGCTCATCCTTCAGTATTTGGTTATTCTAATTTTTAACTTTTGCAAAAGCCCTCAGAAGAAATGATTGGCTGACAAATCACATCTAAAAAGCCATCTCCCAGATAGACTAGGGTTGTGTGGCATCATTGTGGTACACCAAAACTGGAAATTAGGTTTTGACCGAATTGTTATGTTTACCAAGTTTCTCTCAGCCAAATTATATGCCTATCTGAACCACAGAGCCTGTATTAGTAAGATGCGTTTCAAAAATCTGGTAAAAATTTCTATGTCTGCTTAAAAAGCCTGGTCTGGGCTGAGAGCCACAGGAACCTGTCTTGAACAACTTAGTGTAAGCTAAGGAACGTGGACTTAATTATGAAAGCCAGGGGGAGAACCAAAGGATTTCAAGAGGAGGAGTGACATAATATTTATATAGACTTTTAAAATATGACTGTGTAGGCCGGGCGCGGTGGCTCATGCCTGTAATCCTAGCACTCTGGGAGGCCGAGGCGGGTGGATTGTTTGAGCTCAGGAGTTCGAGACCAGCCTGAGCAAGAGCGAGACCCCATCTCTACTAAAAATAGAAAGAAATTAATCGGACAACTAAAAATATATAGAAAAAATTAGCCAGGCATGGTGGCGCATGCCTGTAGTCCCAGCTACTCAGGAGGCTGAGGTGGGAGGCTGAGGCAGTAGGATCGCTTGAGCCCAGGTATTTGAGGTTGCTGTGAGCTAGGATGACGCCATGGCACTCTAGCCCAGGCAACACAGTGAGACTCTGTCTCAAAAAAAACAAACAAACAAACAAAAAAAATATGACTGTGTAACCAAAAGAAGCACAGATTCAGTGAGGCCCAGGCTGGTGGCAGGAAGACGAGTTAGGAGAGCAGTATAATGGTCTAAAAACGAAGTGATACAGACTCTAACTGTGAACACTTTGTAGGCGTGAGGAGGTCAGAATAGACAGAACAGTGACTAAGCAAGCATCAACGCCACAGAATTTGGTTACTAGTTAGATGTACGTGGCAAGGAGCAACAGAAGAGCAGAGTCTAGGTTGAGATCTGCATTCCTGTCTGGACCAGGAATTTGGGTGGCCCAAAATGCCACAAAATGGGACAAGGGATATAGCAGGAGCAGGTTAGGGAAGAGGATGGGTTCAGTTTAAAATACATTATGTCTGAGGTGCCTGTCCATTTGAATGGATCTAGAATGGTGGGCGTGGGATTTGTGCTGGCAGTAAGGACGTGGGGGTTTGGATGAGACCAACTCAGCAAGATT